AAAAAAAAAAAAAAAAAAATAGATAAGAGAAACCATGCAAGTGAGGTATGATTAAGAAAAGAGGTCTCTAAGAATTTAACCTCACTCAACTGAAAAGAGATATAGACTGAAGGGCTCAGAAAGAGCACACAAGGAGTCCACAGCAAAACATCCAAGCCTTCTTTACATAAAATTTAGTGTCTGTGTGTGTAAAGAACATTAAAATTGCAAAGTCAAGCACATGCCAGAATTAAGGTTGCCTGTGCAACCTTAACTTGGCCCCTTTATGCATGAGAATACAGTCTTTAATTACCGGTACATAACACACTCCAAACTCCTCCCTCTTTCAGTGCTCAGAATGGATCTGCTCAGGAGATGAATCACGGTGGTGTTGCACAGGAGGCTCTTGGCTGTAGGACCCCTACCTCATTCGGGGAAGTCAGGTGTGTATCTGTTGTGGTAATTGGAAGAGGCAGGCCTAAGCCTACCCACAACTAAGGTCCAACCCCCTCAATTGAGGCTGTTAAAACGCCAGTAGGCAAGACCTGACTGCTCAGGCATCAGAGAAACAATCATGGACACCAAATGTTGGTTCAAGAAGAGGGCCAGATGCATGCTGGAGGAGTGGGCCCACAAAAAGTTAAAACGGGAAGTGTAAATGTGGTCCAGCTGGGAGTGGGAGAGAGATGAAAGTGTGTGTGTTGGGTGAGTGGGTTCTCTGAGGCCTTTTCAATTAGAGACTCCAGGGGATGAGCAGCATTGCCCCACTTTGCTGCCAAAACCTCCTTGGCCAGCTCCAGCTGCTGGACCTTCTCCTGCGGTGTGGTAGTAGGAACAGCTACGTAGTCCCTCCTCCCCCCTTTTAAGAGGAGAGAGAGTTGCTAGGCCTGTGACTTGCATTTGCCACACTTGCCTCCATTCCCCCATCACCAGTATCCAATCCTCATTGGTGGTTGGAGAGTAGGCTCACAAAGCAACGGCGAACAGATGGGGACCACAGGTATGAGGGTTAGTTAGGAAGAGGAGAAAAGGGCAGTTTCCCCTCAAGATGGACTGGCTCCCTGACATTGCCTAAAACCCTACCTTCTGAGTACCCCACCTGACTGTTAACAGCTAAGTGGTCTGTCAGCTCAGTTAGGTGTAACTGCCCCAGTGCCAGGGTGGATTTGATTTAAATCACTAGTCAGGAAGAGACTATTTAATCATGGATTTCTACATAAAAGTGCATTCTTTTTGGTTGTTATAACCCTAATACATATTCTTCTCTTCACAACTCAGAGATAGATGTAGGTTTTGTTTTTAGAAGATACACACTATACATTTTAAAGTAATTTTTAAAGCTTTTCAGATTAGTTTTACAGCTATATCAGAAAATGAATGATTGTTTGGTTATTTCATTTACCAAAGGTAATTGAAGCAGATATTTATGAAGTCATTGGGAGGTGAACTATCTCCAATTCAACAGGTTAATCATTAATATTTGGAGGATTTTCTTGCCATGCTGTATTAGGAGGAGATCACCACCAGACAGACATTTAAATTGTTTTATTTAACTAAAACAATATTATGTATTCAGGATTTTTTTCTTCAACAGCAAACAATATTTTAACAAAACAAGCATATGAATTTTTGAATTTAGTTAAATATTTAAAGTTTTAAAATCAGGTTTTTGTTAAAATTGTTTTAACTAAAATAGTTAAATGAATTTAAAAAAACAACAACAAGAATTAAACTGACTATGTCAGCCAGATCAACGTGAGAAACTTAAAATATTGGCTTCGGCAGCTAACTCAGTTATCTTCACCTTCATTTTCCTGTTTGCTCATAATCTGGAAAAGAAAAACAAGCTTTCCTGCTTCTTCAGGTCCCAAACGATTTCTCAATTTGGAATGAATTAGTCCAAAGGAATAAAATATTCTTTCTACACTGGCAGAAGATGCTACAGCTGTTAAAAGTGAGAGATCATCACTTCCACAGTCTGAGTCCAAGTGCAGATAACTCTGAAACTACAGAAAATGGTCATCTTGAAGGTGGATAGTCTTCAGAATCCTGTATGTTGAGGATGGATTCTCCTAAACAAAATAAGTCAATGCAGTTATTTAATTATTATTACCATACTGCTCATTTAGTACTACTCACTGCATTCACGGATACTCAGTACTACTTTAATGGTGAAATTGTAGAAGAAAGAAATGCCTATTTCAGCTATTTTTTATTACAACTGCATCTAAAATGCTAGTACCATAAAGTAACAACTATATTTTTTGCTTAAACATGAAAATTCAAGAATAGTCCAGAAGGAAGACAGGCAGTCCCCTTAAGAAAGAAGTATGAAATAAAAAAGTTTACCAACCTGAAGATCCTGTATGTTCAGACGTGTTCCTTTCAACGCAACTTCCTCCTGAGAAGGAACACTTCTCATGATGTTGTTTCATTCGGGCAACCAGGCTTTGCATTGTTTTGTTGCACTCTTTGCATTTATTCTTGTCTTACCCACAGGTAGAGGAACTTCATTAAAATATTCCCAAACTGGGTCTCTTTTACAGCTTTCTGCCATTATAGGTTTTTCCTCCTAGTGAGAATGGTATGGTAGATCTCAGATCAATGAAAGTTACACTCAGACCTCAAGACTTCTGGAATATGCTGCTCAAACAGTTTCACTTTTGTTTCTACTGCCAGTCCCTCCCTTCTCACATTTATCTCCAGACTTCTCCTTGTCCAGATCTATTCTGCCCCCAACAATCTTCTATTCATTGAACTTTTTGAAACTTTACACTTTTAGAGAGAGGTAAGGGACTGACTCTCTGTACACAAATTTGCAGAGGGACAATAGGGTTGAGGTCTGTTATTTCTCACCTTTATATATTACTGAAAAACATTTTTGCTGTTAAGCATATCATCTGGAGACACAAATCCAGAGTTTGAGAACTGAAAAACTTAGCATCTCTGATGGTATCTTCTAGACTGAGCACTGAGTCCCATTGGGTAGATAGAAAAATTTAAATAATCTATACAGAAACCCCTGGAACCCCATAAAATTGGGTCCCTAATCCATGAACTATTGGAATTCATTTACAAAACTTTTCTTAAACATTACATGACTATATTGGCTCATACTATAGAATTAGAATTTATAATCCCTATTCCATGATGAGATATCTTTGAGCTATAATGCATCTATCTTTAGATGTTTTTTCCCCTCAAAAAAATCCGCTTTAAATAAAAATAAAGTTAAATTTTTTTTTAATTATTGATTTTTATCCACCCTGCTCAGTGCCTACGTGGGATTTGTCAGAGACACAGGGGCAGAAGGAACCAGGCAGTGAATGTCCTTGGTGGTGGCAAGGCCAGCACCCTCCTCGGTGTTAGGGGTGCCCAGCATCCTTTGTCAGGCCAAGGGACAGGTCCCTCCTGACATGCCCCAAAGCCTGGCAGAAAAGCAAGCACTGAATGAATCCAGCAGAGGAAGCCCTGATAGAGTATTACAAAAGACCCCTCCAGATTCCCCCTGCCACTCACTAAGCGCTTGGCTACACTTGGAACTTCACAGCGCTGCCGCGGCAAGAATAGGCGCGCCACCAGCGCTGCGAGAGAGCTCTCGCAGCGCTGTATGTACTCCACCTCTCCGAGGGGAGTAGCTTGCAGCGCTGCGAGCGACCGTGCAACGCTGCAGGCACTGATTACACTGGCGCTTTACAGCACTGTACTCGCTGCGCTCAGGGGGGTGTTTTTTTACACCCCTGAGTGCAGCAAGTTGCAGCGCTGTACAGCGCCAGTGTAGCCAAAGCCTAACTGTAGAACCTGGGAGGATTACTTGCCAGCGGAACAAAAGCATGCAACAGAGGATGGGATCTTTGCAACCCAAGTGGAGAGGGGTACTGGGAGGGGTGTTTTCCCAGGGATGCAAGAGGAAGCTAAAAAGGTAGCACTGTGGAGGAAGGACAGGACAGAGCTGAGAGCCATCAGTACAGCCAGATCCTCCAAGGGCTTGAGAGGGACGAAGAGGCCCCCACCAAAAATGTTTTTCTCCACAACCTTGATGACTGCCTGAGATGGAGGCAATGTGGGGCCATAGTAGTGGCAGCAGCTAATGGAGGGATAACAGATGGCGATGGGACAGCAGGTGGGGCAGTGGCCACCTAGGTACATGCCTGGGGGTGAACGGCAAATGCTCCCACAGCTGGTAAAAGGGACAATGGGGTTGAGGGGGTGGGAGATGTGGTAGCAGTAGCCACTGCAGATTTCTGGGTAGGGCTTGTTCTTGCCCTGGCCTTCCTTGCTGACTGAGGGGGCTCTGCCAGTGGTGATGGTTTGGCAGGGGAATCCCTGCCTGTGCCTTCTGCTACAGACCTGATGGAAGTGCTGAGGGTGCTGGTAGAGCTGTTGATAGCCATGGGTAGGACCCTACCACATGTATGGTACATTGTGGTTAATTTCACAGCCATAGGATTTGAAAGTTGGTAAATTTCATGTTTTCACATTTTAAAATCTGAAATTTCAGTTATAAACTGTGGGGGTCCTGACCCAAAAACAGAGTGAGTGAGTGAGAGAGAGTGTGTGTAACCTGTTGTGGGGGGGATGGATCATGTGATTGCCACCCTCACTTCTGGACTCTGAAAGGCTCAACTTCCTGCTTGGTAGATACAGGCATCTGAGACAGTTTTGTAGGGTACTGAGCTCAATTGGTAGCCTCAAACTTGAGAGGCACAGCCTTAAGTTATCAAAAACAAGTGAAAAAAGTTCTGGTTTCAAATGTCATTAATTGAATATCAGCATGGAGCATCCAGCAATTGTGTCTTTCTTCAGTGCCTGTCTCTGTACTGAAAACACCTGTCTGAGTTTAGATCTTGTGCTCTCTGCATCCACAGAGTTTGTTGGAATTGTTAGACAGCACTGAGCTAGCCTTGCAAGATGGGGGATTCTGCCTTCCACTGAGTTCCAAAACTGTAGCATAGGCAAACTACAGTCTGCTTCTTTTGCAATATTTTTGTAAGCAGGCATCTCCAGCCTACAATTCTTATCAAAGCCAGAAATTGCATTAAGTGAGTTTAAATCCACCATCAACAGATGCACTTGTGCAGGGTCAAAAATAGGCACTGTTTCTAGGAACCTTGCTGCAGCTTGTGAAACTTTTAAGCCATTTTTGCTACATCGCTTGACTCTTCCCCATAATAGTAGTAGTAGTAATAATAGTATTGTTCTTGCATGTTCAGCGCAGCTCAGACACCTGCTGACCACTGGCATTTAACTCAGCATTGTCAAAGTGGTTTTCGTTTTGACTGTGCTTCAGCCCAGAACAGTACATACATCCATTACTTTGTTGTATGCTTGGTAGATTGTGACATGTCGAGATTCAAACCAAATGATTAAGTCCATGAGTCCTGTGGCATTCTTGGCAACAAACTGAACATCCTCTCTCAGCTGAGCATCGTTTAGACAAGTGGACAGTTCTGTTAAAACCTGTGTTTTCGGTGTCAGTGTCAGCTCTTCTGAGACAAACTCAGACTAGTACTTCAGGTGAGCTGCATGGTATTGGACAGGCCAAAACTGGGAATTCCAATGAGTAATTACTGGCTTGGGGGGGGGGGGGGGAAGGAATGCAATTTTTTTGTTCCCCAATTTCAGTCATGTTTGCAATGTGCTGCCTGTATTGAAGTTTGAGGTTAGGGCAGTGTTTAAATATCTTTTTAATGTAGCTGACCAATTTATTACCTTTATCAAACTTGCATCTCCACAGCTTACTGACCAGAGAAATTATATGTGGATTACATGTAATATGGACAGCATTTTGCATTAGATCTCAGAGAAACGATCTGAAAAATTGTCACAAGTTGCATTGTCACTTATGAAAGTAGATACTTTGACAAAGTTTGCACTGTTAACTACACTATACTTTCTCAAGTGATAATTAACAGCACCCTAATAAATGCTATCGGCGAGCACAGTTAGCTTTCTTGTCTATACATCTTTGGCCTTGTCAGAAATAAAAATCAAACAGAACATGCAGTACATAGTGGTCTTGCTCATCGGTGGACTCATCTGAAATAATTGCAAGAGACTCACATGAGTTAATTTGACTTGCCTCAAAATGTGTAGCAAAAGCCTTTGGAAGGTAGTTCTGTGGTAGCTTATTCGCACTTGGTAAGCAACCGGCATTTTGTACATTCTGTTGAATTAACTCATGCAGCTTTGGATGATCAAGTTTTTCCAACGGTATATTAGCACTTGCAAATGCATGCACAAGTTCCATTCTAGCTAAATGACGGGTCTCAGAGCTCTGTCTTATTAAAAAGAGAAGATATTTTTTAAAAACCTTTTTGTTTACCAGCAATGCACTATCCGCAGCCCTCTTTGCGCTTTGATGGGTTTCCGAGTCTAAGTGGCACTGAACTGTTGCCCAATGTGTGAGATCCAATGAAACACTGCACCTTATACAAAATAATTTGGCTTCCAAATTCTTTAACAGGATCTGCTGCAGTAATCTTTTTTGATGTTTGATTTACTTTGAACACTCATTTTAGAGTAATTGCACGTCTTCTGGTAGGCAATCAACTGAGATCACTGTATTACAATACCTCCCCAACATCCATATCTACCAATCAGTGAGTTGAGCCCAGAGTGTGATTTGCTACTGTAAAGTGTCAATCAAAAAATTCTGTCAAGTGCCTCACCTTTCTTTTTATTAAAATAAGCTAATAATTCATCTGGAAGGAGGGGCAGTTCCCTGTACAGCACCCTAATAATGTACAATGTCCCCTCTCCAGGCAGCTGCAAAAGGAGGGGGACAGGAAGCGAATGGGGATGAGAGGGTGCAGGTGAGATACCCAAGAGCAGTCCTGCAGAGAAAGAGCAAGTCCTGTCCTGCCCCATGCCTGGATTAAGCAACTAGGACAGTGGTTCTCAAACCTTTTTACTGGTGACCCCTTTCACATACCAAGCCTCTGAATGAGACCCCCCCCCCCTTATAAATTAAACACTTAATAAATTTAAAACCATTATAAATGCTGGAGACAAAGCGGGATTGGGGTGGAGGCTGACAGCTCATGACCTTCCATGTAATAACCTCCCGACCCCTTGAGGGGTCCAAACCCCCAGTTTGAAACCCCCTGAGCTAGTAGTCCTCAGCTTGGGTGCTCCCAGCAGCACAGGGAAGATCAGACCCACTTCTTGGTGCCTCCTCCAGCTGCAGGAAGCTCTGGGGCTGCTGCCCAGTCCCAGAGCGTCCTGCAGCAGGGGGAGGCACCCAGAAGAGGGTCTGATCTCCTCCCCCCCAGCCCCCAGTGGCTGGGCAGGGGGATAGACAAGTCCTGTCCCTCCCCAGACCAAACGAAGCTAGGAACCACCTTTGCTGGGGTGCTCCTAGCACTAGGGAGAGATCCAATTTCATAGGGAAAGGCTTATTTCATAGTCCATGACCCGTTTTTCACGGCAGTGAAATTGGTAGGGCCCTAGCCATGGGACAGCTGGAGAAGAAAGCCAAGGTAGAATGACAAAGGTGGCCAGGGATTCCCCCCTTCCCTCAGTCTCCCCCACCAGATAGACGAAGGCCAGAGCAGAAGACTCACCCATCGCTGGAGTCCACCCTCAAGTGACGGTGGTAAGAACAGCCACTGGAGTGGGGGAGGGGGGCAGGGAGAAGAATATAAAAAGGGGTGAGGGTAGGGAAAACAGATGTTACCCACTCCACGGGGCTGCACATGTGGGGAGGAGAGAACTAATGGAAACTGGAAGGAGTAGTCAAACAAATGAAAGGGAGATTGGGGATTACAGTTGGCACTGGGGTGGAAAAAAATCCCAACTCTTTGAGCTGCACTGTAGGGAGTGTATAAATAAGTGTGTGTGGGGGGGGGGTGCAATGATCGGTGAGATCACACAAGGGCAGGGAATGCACAGTACATGGGGCGAGTGGGGCCAGCTGAGGCAGTAGGTAACAAACAGCAAGGGAATAGCTCAGGCAATGAAATGTGGGAGAGAGGGGATAACAAGGTGTGTGTGAGGGGGAAGATCAGGAGCAGTGAACCATAAGTGAGGGACTTGTGGACAAGCAGGGGGAGAAGAGGGCCCATTAGCCCAATGGAGTAAGGGAAATCTGAGGAGGAGCACATGCACACCCACGTGAGCCTGCCTAGTAGGTAGGTGTCAAGTATCAGAGGGGTAGCCGTGTTAGTCTGAATCTGTAAAAAGCAACAGAGGGTCCTGTGGCACCTTTGAGACTAACAGAAGTACTGGGAGCATAAGCTTTCGTGGGTAAGAACCTCACTTCTTCAGATGCTAAGGTGCATCTAAAGAAGTGGGTTTCTTACCCACGAAAGC